ATGGTTTGGTTTCAAAGGAGCCACGCAGGGGTTTGTGTCTCTACTGAATCTTTAAGGGCTGTGGTTCTGTTCCTCATAGTGGGTCTAGATCAAAAATGACAGCACTTTTCTGTATATTATTAAACCAATGGAATAAACTGTGCCTGGATACGCAGATTTCCAGGGCATCGTGAGTGTTGTGTGGGAGGATTTGGTAGGAATGAGATCCAGCTTCAGAGCTCATTTGTTAGAAAACAAAACATGCAAATAAACCACCCACCCCCCTAAAAAAAAAAAAAAAAAAAAAAAAAAAAAAAAAAAAAAAAAAAAAGGCCTGAGATGCTTTTAGGACTCAAATAGCTCTGGTTTGTGCCAGAATGGAGATTTTCAATTTTGCCCAAACAGCAAAAGATTTAAAGGGAAGATTCGTCTGGAAGTAGTGAAATGTTGCCTTGTGAGTCAGTTTATTCAATTACTCCAAACTCTCTTGAAAAAACATCCCTTTGAGGATGTTTTTTGAGGAATTTGGCAGCGTTGCTAACGGGGAGTTTTGCCATGTTGGATGATCCCATATTCCTGGTTCTATCTGGGAGTCTCCCAGAGGAGGGATGACACCGTGACATTGGTGCCAGAGGATTTTCCCCCTTCTCCATGTGCTCCATGTGGAATGGAAATGCTCAGGGAAGGGATATCAGCTGCTTTGGGAGTGGCAAAACTCCAAAATTCTGGATTGATTTCTCTGCAGACTTGAGCCTGCAGCATTTCGGGAGAAGTTCCAGGCTCGGAGAATGTGGAAATGCTGTCAGAGATGTTCTGAGTTCTGTGCTTATCTCCAACCTTGTTTTAATATTTGTGGGTCCCTTTAACCCCTGAACTGTGGAGAGGAAGGCCCCGAGTTAACAAAATCCCTGTTCCAAACTGTTGGGATTTATGATGGCACTGGAAATATTTCTGTGGCGTGTGTGTGACATCAGCTGGGATTTTATTAGACTTACACTTGAGAATCAATTCACAAAAGGCAGAAGCAGGAAAATCTTGGTGAACCATTAATCAGCCCTTCTTACCAGCAAACCCAGCACAGTGTTTATGTGACAAGTGGAATGGATTCCATGACAATTTTATCTGGAAGTTCTCCCTCTGCCTCAGAGCAGTGCTGAATGCAATTCCCTTGTTATTACTACTTAGGAATATATGATTATTTAGTCTTTTATTTCTGATAGCTCTGACTGTCTGGAAGTTCTCAGCAGTTTTATCTTCTGTCATAAATGATGACACCTCCTTGTATGTGAGTGAACGAACAGTGTGTGCAGATATTTGTGATTTTTCCTCAGTCAGGGAGTTCAGCCTCTCTCCTAGTGTTCATTATCCCCTGTTTCCCTGAACCAAAACGAATCCTTTTTAATGTGAGAAACATTTCATGAGCTGTGGGAGTAGGAAAGGCTGTGGATCTCTTTGAACCTCACTGCAATAATAATTTGAATGGGTCATTATGAGCCAACATGATCAGAGGAACTGGAAAATGTTGGGGTTTATCCAAGTTTGTTCACAATCTAAAGTCCCACCTCAAATGATAGTTTGCTTGGGTTGATTTGATGCTTCTAAACACCATTTGTATGTACCAGATATTGGAGATCAGTCAGAGGTTGGACTTGATAATCTTGGAGGTCTTTTCCAAATGATTTTAGGAGGTATTTTTCTAAATGATTTTGTGATTCTATGATTCTGTTCAGATTTGAACTGCACCCAAAATCTGCTGAGTAGGGACTGGCATGTGGAGATTTCTGTTGCATCCATTTGCCTCCCTAAGCAGCACAACCAAAATATCTCTTTTGCTGTGACATTCCAGCTTCTTTAGGCCCATGAAAGGTGCAGAAAAGAATTTGGTCCTGACAGTGTTGGTTTTCTGATCCTGTTACATTTTGTCTGAACCAGATTGAAAAAAATTTTGCAAAAGTCTTTATGGAAGTGAATTTAATTGAATATAAGGAGGGAAAATGGGAGGTAGAGGATCTAAGGTGTCTCATGGCAGATTTCAAGCTGATTTTCTTTGTGAAATTAGCAGAGTTTGTAAAGACAATTTCAGGTCACTTCATCATCAAAGGGTTAATTCTAATTTTGAACTTCCCAAATGTCAGAGCTCTTCTATCCAAAATTACAGCAACTGGCTTTATCAACATATGCTTTTCATTACCTACAAGACTTACAATATTTTTGGTGTCTGTATCAACTTGATTCAATTACTGGTACCACTGCAAGGGAACATTCCCTCCAGGGAAAAGGGGGTGAATGCATCAGTGCCCATGGATACAGTGTAGGGAGCAGATTAATATAACAGATTTACATTGAGACTGCTGACTCCATTACTTTAAAACTCCTGTAATTGACTTTTTTAAAAATGACATTAGCATTTAAATGGTACTATCGTTACAAGGGTGAAGGTTCAGCAGAATATGATCAATTTATTGAGCTCTTCAAATGTTCTTTTGATATTTATTTTTTGTTGTCATGCTGGAGGGGTTTTTAGTGTTTTGTCAGAGGCAGGGAAAAGTCTATAGCCCAGAGATCTTGGGCTGAGCAGCTGCTGGGGGGAAGGCATGGGAAGCACAAGTTGCTCAGAGTTCTCTTCCCCATCTCCATCCCTCCCACCTGGAACTTTTCTGAGGTGCAAAATTCCAGTAAGACAGAAAGGGATGATTTTCAGAAGCTTGTGAGAAAAGCCTGGTGCTTGTGGCCTTCTATGGAAAACAGGCAGGGCCATTATCCACCATGAAGGGCCTTTCTAGCACCACACATCAAAATTATTCCAGTTGCCTTCAAAACAACTTCCAGTCCAACCAGTACAGCTTCCACTTCCAGAGATTTCACATGGGCCTGGCACAATGATGCTCTCCAAACCCCACTGATTTGGTCCAAGCTTTTCAGGAGAAATTTCTTCATGGAAAAGGTGCTCAGGCTTAGGAAGGGGCTGCCCAGGGAGGTGTTGGAGTGCCCATCCTTGGAGAAGTTCAAGGAATGACTGGATGTGGCTCTCAGTGCTCTGGGCTGGGTGACAAGGTGGCCATTGGGCACAGGTTGGATTCAATGGACTTTTAGAAACATCTTTTCCAGCCTCAGGGGTTCTGTGATTCCATGGGCTGATGCACTGTCAACCTTTTCTCTGGGAAGCTTCCACGGAAGGTCCAGCACCATTTCACCTGCAGGAAGGGTGTGGGAGATGCTTCTCTGCAGGTGAGAAGGTCCCTGAGAACTCACTGAACACCCCAAACTCTGAGTTTTGCTGCACTGATGGAAATTTGGAGGGGTTTCCTTAGACCTCAGCATGGTGGGAAATGCTCAAGAGGACGATCCTCCTACACCAGCCTGCTGTGGCTGTAACCTGTTAAAGACTGGATTATTGTAAAGGAGGGTTTTTGGGGTGCCAAAAAATTTGAATGGCTGCAAAGTATGTTGGGAATAACCCTCTAACAGAAAAGCAGCAGGACAGAGCCTGTCCTTGTGGAAATCCTAACCCAGAAAACTGGGATGGCCAGCAGCTGGTACCTGCAGTGTTATCCCTGCAGTGTCCCCAGACACCTGTGTGTGCACATGCACATCTATAAAATCAGTAATTCTGGCCTAAATACTCAGATGAAGCAAAGTTCTGCTTTCTGAAGAACTTTCTGAAGGCAAAGCAAGGCCTCCTCAGGAGTGTCGTCATTTTCAAGCCTTCAGACTGAAAAAATGGTGGCGATTTGGGGGTAAATTTGTGGTGCCTTACTTGGATATTCCCATTCATGGATAAAAAAGCTTTAAGGCTTTTCCTCCTGAACCACCAAGTGCCATAAACCCCAGAACAGAAATGTAACAGCTCACGGGGTTTTGATGGGCCCACTTTGTTTCTCACAATTTTAAGATGCCAAATTTCAAAGGAGAAAAGAACAACTGTGCTGATTTTTCACCATTTTAATTCGCAGCTCTTTGGCTGCTGCCGATAAAATCGATGCATCCCGCGCCTGATCTGTGTGGAAAAGCAGGTCTGGGATGCAGGGGGAGTTCAGACCACAGCAGCAATAGGTAACTTGGGATCCCTCCTGCTTGCCTGGCTATAAAAATGCTTTGTAATGACCCAGTTCGACCCTGCCAGTTCCCCCTGACTTCCTCCTTCTCAGGATGCTGCTTAATTTGCACTAATTACATTCCGTTCTGACAGAAACTTGGACATTGTCTCAAGCTCTCAGGTATTTTCACTGCCACATCCCAACTCAGAGAGGGAAAATGGCAATAAGTAACTTATGAAAATACATTTTGTTTAATATAATACATCAGTAGCTTGCACGTAGTGTCATCTGTGTGTATAAACATCCCTTCAAGAATTATTTGGTGTTTTAATCTTGAATTCTTCCTGGGATTCAGGAGGCTGCTTAAACCCAGCAGTAGCACTTGGAATAATTAGTGCAGTCATTGGCTTTGGCGTGGTTTTTCTTGGTTTGCTTCCAGAATCCCAGGTTAAATTCCTAATAATAATTCTGAGGTTGATGACCACTACAGAGAATTCTGCTTCAAGGAGGTCAGTAAGGTAGGAAAGATCTTCCAAAAGGAAAATTTATGGGTCAGGTTCAGCTTCGGTTCTCCTAAAATCAGGGCTTAGTGAAGATGTCTGCACGTGTGGGTTGAGTGGAGATGAGGAAAAATTAATTCATTTTTTTGGCTTACAATGGAGCGAGTAACAAACCTGTCCAACAAGTTGATCACAAAATTGGACTGTGTCAAAATGCCTGTTTTGGCCTAAAATTGAGCCTTTTTAGTGAGGAGGGAGCCTGGCATGAGAGGTGTGTGAAGGAACACAAACCTCTCTCTCCTGCTTTGCGCTGACCCAGCCTCTGTTCCTGCCTGGCTGATGTGTGTGGGGTTTGTCACCACACCTCCTCTGCCTCGTGCAGAATAATTTCCACAGCCAGAGCTGTTCTGCTCCTCGTTCAGGTGTGTGGGTGATGCTGAGCACAGCTCAGGACCTCTCTGTGCCATGGCAGAGCCCCCAGCTCGTGGGCCCGTTGTGCAAAGAGTGGCAGAGAGGGGCTGGTGGCATTGTCACAGTGACACGGGGACACACAGCTGTGCCAACCACATGGCAACGATGGATCCCACCCTAGGAGCCAGCAGAATGTGTCTTTGAGAGAATGTGGAAGCAGATCCCCACCCGAAGGCCCAAAATGACGGCCAAAAAGCAGCCCAGGGAGCAGATGCCAAGGCTTTGTGTTACCTCCCAGAGCAGCAGAGCCCAGGCATTGTTGGACTGCGCCGAGGCTTTTAGGCACAGACGGTATCAGCAAAGCAGTTGCATGTTTCAAAATATTGTATCATTTTAAAGTGCAGTGCACATTAGGTCAGTGAAAGGGGATCCGCCGATTTGAAGCGCGGGCGGATAAAGCGGCTCTGTGTTCGCGGAGACAGAGGCACCCCGGGCCCGAAATCCCTGGAGCTGTCTTTCAGAGAGTGATAGTTACGGAAATTAGCAGTGCAGAAATCTATCCTAATCATTCATCGGGAGCCTTATTAACTGTCTTAGCCGTGTTATTAGCACGGGGCCCGGCCCCCGCGCGGGCACGGGCACAGGGATGGATCCTGCGTCTCGGCCCTCAGGAACCACTTCATGAGGGAAAAAATTATCTAATCTTCATGTAAATGAAGATTACAAAATATTGTATCATTTTAATCTTCATGTAAATGAAGATTACATTACATTATGGAGAGAGAAACACCTCTGGAAGAAGCTCTGCTGTACTGGGAGAGCTGGGGGTGTTCACCCGAATCTGGGGTGATCTTAGAGCTCCTTCCAGGGCCTGAAGGGGCTCCAGGAGAGCTGGAGAGGGACTGGGGACAAGGGATGGAGGGACAGGACACAGGGAATGGCTCCCACTTCCAGAGGGCAGGGATGGATGGGATATTAGGAAAGAATTCCTGGCTGCCATGGTGGGGAGGCCCTGGCACAGCTGTGACTGCCCCTGGAAGTGTCCAAGGCCAGGTTGGATGGGGCTGGGAGCCACCTGGGATAGTGGAAAATGTCCCTGGCCGTGACAGGGACTGGGAATGGATGGCAGTAAGGTCCCTTCCAAACCAAAGCATTCAGTGATTCCCTGAAGGAGGTGAGCTGTGACCCTGAGCTGCTCCTCTTTGAGCACCACGGGGCTCTGTCCCTCCACCCAGACAGGGAATGACAAAAGGGACACAGCCAGGAGAGGGTCCTGGGTGATGGGGCCAGTGGCTGAAGCCATTTCTGGGCCTGGTTTTGAATGGTCATGGCTGGAAGTGGGAAGTGCCTCAAAAGCAGTCAGTGTCTAAATACTGTATTTAACAACTCTTTCTTATTGACAAACTTTACCTGAATAAGGAAAAACCCAATATTTGGTCCAGCTGGCCTTCCCATAGAGAATTTTACCATAAACTTTGCCATTAATTTTATTTTATTTTATGAGTATCAGTTTGAGACCCATTTCTTATTAAAAAAAAGGAACACCAGAGTGTTTCAGAAGGGTGACCCTCAGGATCCCCATTTGATGTTAGCTTCAAATAAAAGAAAATTAAATTACACACTTGTGCTCAAGGATTTACGTCTGTGAATCCCACTCTGGCTGGTATCTCCACCATTAGGGAAACAAAGAACATAGAGGAGATAAATAATACTTGGGAAAGACAGAATCTTTTTTGTCTGCTCCTTTATCTGTAGTTTGACTGTGTTCCTTAAGTGTTGAAAGGGGCACTTTCTTGGCAAGTATGACACAAATAACCTTCACCCTTGACTGCACTGTGGGAGACAGTTATAAATTTGAGGATAAAGGACACGAACAAGAGTTACTTTATATGACATTTTCTCATTACAGCAGGGATGGGGAAGCGAGGGAGTGTTCCCTCCTCACTTGTCCTGGGGTTGTTTGTCCCACACTCGGGTTTATGGCCCAGCAGTTCTGTGTCACAGCCAGTGGCCTGTGGGTTGTTGGTTTTTGTGCTGTGGGCTCCTTTTTCCTGACTTCTGTCACCCAACCAAGCTGTCCTTCCTCCAGCAAGGATGTGGCACTGGGCAGCCCTGACCCTTCCCAAAGGGCTATTTGGGAATCTCAGTATTTAATAATCCCAGTATTTAATAATGATCTGAAGGCAGGATAGAGTTGTTTTTTCAAGAGACAGCTCGAAAGAATCTTTTTTTTTTCAAAGAAAGTGTTTGCAATTTTTTAAATTAAGTGTTTTCTCTTGAGGGTAAATGTATCATGTAGAATTTCAAAGTGAGAAAGATCCTACACAGCAGTACATTGAAATACTTTAACACAAGCAGCTGAAAGATATTAATTAAAATTATTAGCTATATATTCTTAGAAACAGTTTCATCTTTTTTCATGCTGAAAAGTGGGAAATTTGTATTGGATATTGGGAAGAAATTCTTCCTTGGGAGGGTGGGAGGTCCTGGAATAGATTTCCCAGAGCAGCTGTGGATGCCCCTGGATCCCTGGAAGTGTTTAAGGCCAGGCTGGATGGGGCTGGGAGCAAACTGGGACAGTGGAAAGTGTCCCTGCCATGGCAGGGGTGGAATGAGATGAGCTTTAAGGTCCCTTCCAACCCAATCCATTCTATGTTCTATAATATTTTTAGACACATTCAAAAGATTTTCTGAGGTTTTTTTCACTCCTTTAAAGATTTTTAATTTAATTGCAGCAGCCCCAGCATGTGGCTGTGTTTATGCAGTGATCAAACTCAGGGCATTTTTTTCTTTTTCTTATTGCAGAGCTTTTGAGGGATTTTTTCAGACTTTCATCAGTGCATTTTTAAGATTTCTTTTTTAGGGTTCATTAGAAAATTGCAAAAACCTGCATCAAAAAAGCAGCAGTACCACCATGAGCTTGGCAGAATTATCACAGAAGCTCTGGTTTTGGTTCCTGAGGACATTTGGGGGGTTCATTCCTCCCCCAGAGTCAGGGCTGGAGTTGGGGCACGTGGGGTTAGAATAAAACCTGCCTGTGGACACTGAGTTTGATAACAGTGTCTGGCTGAAGCCCAGTGGTATCTGTGCAGTGATTCATCAGCTCAGAACCAAGACAAGGCTTTAATAAGAGGCAAATATTGCTTGGGGCAAAGTGAGAGCACAGACTTATCAAAGGCCTGAACTTTGATTCAAATCTAATTCCATTATTACCTCGGAAATAGGTTAAGGTCTGTGGGCTGGTGATTGCTTGGGAATGCACTTTAGGTAAATGAATAGTGATTGGTTTGGGGGAAAATTCCTCTCAAGCCAAATCGTGGGCTTCTTTCCAGAGTTTGTTGCACAGGTTTTTGAGGGATTCTCTGTGTATGGCAATCCAGAGCACTGGCTGTAGGTTGTCCATCCTTTTTCTTATCTTCTTCCTTTAAGAGCTGTGGTTTTTTTTTTACTGCGAAACCTCAGCTCCTAACCCAAACTAAAACCAAAGACATCTTCAGCTGTGGCTTCATCCCTCATCTTGCTTTCCTGCTGTGGAGTTATTTTAATAACTTGCACTTTTAATAATGTTACAGCTACTGCTTAAGTTTGCCGTATTGCTGGCAAGCTTCAGGAATTACTGTGGTGATTAAAGCTCTGGGTTAAACCAGGGGATGGACAGAACACCTCACCCTGTGTCTCTCACACACCTTGCAGCCTGCTGAGCCCTCCAAGCTGGGCGATGAAGGAGCTCCTCTGTCTGTTCCCCTGATGAGCTTCATTTTTTGGTCGGATTATCCATAATTAGTGGGGATCAGAATTTCTGCAGCCCCGAGTTAGGCAGTGGGAGGAGAAGATTGTAGGGTGAGACTCTTCTGTTGCTGACCCCAATGGGCTCTGTCCACCCTTCCCCTCAGCTCTGTGGGCCCAGGAGCTTCTGCCTGGTTTTTGGCACAGGAATTGTGTTTAGTTTGTACCTCTGAGCATTTATTCCATTGAAAAATTCACATTTCTCCCCTGGCATTTCCTCTGGTCCTGGCTAGCTGCTGTCCCATGGATGGGACAGTGATGTCCTCTCAGGGGAGCTCTGTCCCAGCTCCCGTGTCCTTGTCTTTCCTGGGCAGAAGCCATCAGCTCTCATCCCTCTTTTCCCACTGAAAAAGGTCCTTTGCACACCTGTTTCAGGGAGGCTGTGGCTGGATCTGCCCGAGATTTTTATCATCTCCCCCAAGTGTAGAAACAAAAGGCCACTTTGTTGTTGATGGATATAATCCTTTTTTATTATTATTCCACGCTTCCACACACACTTTTAAGTCAAAGCAATATTGCTGTGAGTTTGTTTTTCAAGAAATTTTTTTTTCCCTGTGGTTAAAGCTGCATTTTAAGCTCTATATGAAATTGTCTGTACAGAACTGTATTTTGATAGAAAATAGATGCTGCAGTTGAAATTGCAATAAGGAAACAGAGAAACAACAGGCACTGCTGAGATCGAAGCGCTGATTAGGAGGGCAAATTAGATTTAGATTTCCTGAATATCTAACAGCAGCTAAACATTTTTTTTTCGTCCTTTGTGTATGAGCATTTCCATTAAAATTTACAAAGGGCTTGAACTGGATTAGACTCCCACAGTCACTTTGAAATAACAAAATACAACTTGGCTGACAGGGGCTGTTTAGAAACCTTTTGCAAAAATTATCTTCAGAAACATTAGCACTTAGCAGTTACAAAATGTCTACTTTTGTCTTGCCCCCTCTGCCAAGTTCCCTTTTTTGTCTTGCCGTGAGGAGGATAAATTATCCGACTTGCAGAGATAAACCACAGAGAGGTGAGATTGCTGCAGCTCAATGCTCGCTCCGGCCTCCGCTCCGGCTTCAATTTAACCCCCTGGCTCTGGCCGTGTCAATCAGGCCCTTAATGAATACATTCCTAAATGAGCTGGTGGGTTTTTTTTTTTTTTCCCCTTGCTAGAAGATGCAATTAATGTTTTGGCTTAAGACACCAAGTTTAGAATAAATGTATAGGGTGCAGCGCGAGGTCTTTGGGGTGAAATGAGGAATTATCCGAACAGAAAAAGGCATTTCTCTGCTGCTCTGGAAGTGCTGGCACAGGGCAGAGCGGGGGAAATGCCACCTCGAGGGTGCCACCAGGAATTCTTTATGCCCTGGCATGTGTGGTTGTGCTCAGCACGAGCTGGGCATGGGGCTGAGGGCGAGGACACAAATAAAGTCCCTTTTGCTGCCGTGTTCTCGGTGCCCTTTTGTGGCAAATATCTGCAAGAATGTGCCCCATATAAAGGGGGGCAGTGTCTGAGGGGTTTCCCTCCAATAAAAGGAAGAGCAGGATTTTCTTTCCGAGATAATTCCCTCCAAAGAAGCAGCGACATGCAGACTGGCTGAAACAGGAGGTGGAAGACAATTTTAGCAATAGGTGGTGACAGTTTCTTTTAATCTCCTTTATATTCTGATGTCTCAGTCTAGTGGCTGACTAACCATATCTGTGGCTTCATCTAAGCAGGAAGCCTTTTGACAGTGTCATTTTTCCATCGATTTATTTGTTAAGATCTGTGCTCTGAGGATGTGCTGGTGATGCCATCGGAGGGGTCGGGGATTGGAGGGGCTGCTCCATCCTTCTCACCACCCTCATGCAGCCCATGAGGGTTCCCTCCCCTTGCAGTGGATGTGCAATTCCTGAATTGAATTTCCTGAAATGAACTGGATTTCCTGCAGAAAAGGGGATTGAACTCTAAATTCCCCTTGGCATAGCCTGGACCACCTGCTTTGGGTGTGCAGAGTGCTCAGAGCAGTGGGGTTTGTGCCCAGAACAGTGGGGTTTGTACCCAAAGCAATGGGGTTTGTGCCCAGAACAGTGGGGTTTGTACACAGAACAGTGGGGTTTGTGCCCAAAACAGTGGGTTTGTGCCCAAAACAGTGGGTTTGTGCTCAGAACAGTGGGGTTTGTACCCAAAGCAATGGGGTTTGTGCCCAGAAGAGAGGACTTTGTGCCCAGAGCTGCCCAGGCACAGTGAGGAGCTGTAGGAATTGTCCCTGGGATTCACTTCCCTCTCTGCCCTCAGAGCTCCCACACCTCCCAGTGACTGGCACTGCATCTGGGCTCTCTGAAGGAAATCAAACCACGAGTTTCATGTTTCAAAATACAAATTTTGCCCTGGCCTGGTGGGGCCTGGTGTGAACAAGGCTGTGGAAAGGTGGGATGTTATTTATAAACTTCCCATGAGGACATTTTTCAGGCTTTGTACCCAGCTCCAGGTGATCTGCCTTGCTGACATTGTCCTAGAAATCCCAAAGCACATGGAAACGTGGCCAAATAAATTCAAATTTATTTTGGCTGCTCCTGAAGGGTGGATGCAGTTTGAAAAATCCAGAGTCTGGAAGTGTGCTGGTTACTAATTACCATTTTAAATAAGATTTTTTCCCTCCCTCCAGGGCCTGGTGGGTGCAGCACCTCCTTGGCCTGCTCAGGATAGATTTTCCAGGCCATGCTTCCATTGGCTCTCTGGCTTTTAAGGAATTAAGAACAAGCTAGAAAACTTCATTCCATGCACTGCATTGCCTAAAAAGCCCTTTTTGCCTTGGAAATCTGTCTTGGTTTGAAAAGACAGGTGTCTGCTAAGGAAGGCAGTAGCTCTGAGTAGTGAATTCCAAAGTTTACCAGGTAAGATACAGAAACCTGTGAAGAAAGAAAAAAGAAAAAAGAGTGAAATGAATCCAGTGGTTCACTGCCATTGTGTAACTGTAGGATTTTGCTGTTTCTGGAGAATGTGAGGCTTGGACTGAGCACAGAATAACAGTTTACTTCTGTAGAAACAGAAGAATAATACATATATTATGTTCATCTAAAATCAGCAAATGTATAATTTAAATTAAATTAGTGTGTTAAAATAGAAGTTAATAGAAGTTAGTTAATGTAAGTTTTCACTGCTGGCTTGGAGTAGTTGTCTCCCTACCATGGAGTGTGTGAGGTTTTTTGGGATGTGGAGGCAGCATAGGGCACATCTCCCATGTCCCCTCTGGGGCTGAGCTCACCTGAGGGGACACCTGCAGGTATTCATTTGTACATCGAGTTTTCAGCCAATTTATAGATATATAAATACAGGGTTTGGTTTTTTGTGGGGTTTTGGGTTTTTTTGTTTTGTTGTGGTTTTTTTGGTTTTGTTTTTGGTTTTGTTTTTTTTTTGTTTGTTTGTTTTTTTTTTTTTTGCTAAAACAGCCCCTAAGAAACAATTTTTGAGTTCCTTCCAACTTGAAGACTGAAGCCAAAAGGTCCCTCTGCACTCAGCTTGGCTGCCAGCAGTACCTGCAGCAAATCCATCGTGCTTTGCCCAGCCTGGGGGGATCCCACTGTCCCTGCAGGGATCCCACTGTCCCTGGAGCAATCCCATTGTCCTTGGAGGGATCCCATTGTCCCTGGAGGGATCCCATTGTCCTTGCAGGGATCCCACTGTCCCTGGAGCAATCTCATTGCCCTTGGAGGGATCCCATTGTCCCTGCAGGGATCCCACTGTCCCTGAAGGAATCCCATTGTCTTTGGAAGGATCCCATTGTCCCTGAGGGCTCCCATTGTCCTTGGAGGGATCCCATTGTCCCTGGAGCAATCCCATTGTCCTTGGAGTGATCCCATTGCCCCTAAAGCAATTCCATTATCCCTGGAGTAATCCCATTGTCCCTGGAGTGATCCCACTGTCCCTGGACTGATCCCATTGCCCCTAAAGCAATTCCATTATCCCTGGAAGGATCCCACTGTCCCTAAAGCAATTCTATTATTCCTGGAGGGATCCCCCTGTCCCTGGAGCGATCCCATTGTCCCTGCAGGGATCCCATTGTCCTTGGAGGGATCCCACTGTCCCTAGAGCAATCCCATTATCCTTGAAGAGATCCCCCTGTCCCTGGAGCGATCCCCCAGCCCCTGCCTGTGCCAGGTGGGTGGGATCAGCGGGGCAGGCTGCGCTCCCAGCAGGAAAGGGTTAACTGCCAAGGCAGAGCACAAACAGAGATGCGAGCAAACAGTCCCGGGCAGAAACCGGAGCCATCACTTCCCTCTAATGAAAACCAGATTCACTCCTCCAACAATCATCCCACTGTTCCCTCCCTGCCCAGGAACGGGACTGTTGTTTCTCCTAAAAATTAAAAAAATAATAAAAATCCCTGAACCCCTATGTTCTATTTCTAGGGATAATCGATTTTATCATCTGGGTAAGGAAAAAATAAAGTTAATTTTGTTTTCCAGGTCTATATGCTGAGTTTGCCGAACAAAAGAGAGTTTGCAGTGGTGTCGGTCTGGATCTGAATAGGAATTAATTCAGACAAAATAACTGGAATTGCACTAGTTACGGTCTTAAATGTTTGCTGCATCCCTCTTTACTTATTCTTTTAGAGGAAGGGCACAGGTATAAAGGCTATTTGGAGAGAAAATTACTTCCATTTTGGTAGGCACATCCTGTTTCCTTCCACCAGCTCCATCCAGCCTTGCCTGGGAGCTCCCATTCCACACCAAAAAGGAGACTGGGCCTGAGCAATACTTATTAATTATTATTATTTATTATTATTTGTATTATTATTTATGGGTTGTCAGATTTGGGATGAGATCAGCATTTTTCTGAGGTGGATCTCACAGACCAAAACCCTGTGTTGGATCGTGCTAGGCAGACTCCAAGTGACCAAAAGTGACAGATATTTTTTTGGAAACTGTCTATTTTTACCAGAACTTTGGAAAATATGGTTCTTTCAGACACTTTTGCTTGAACTGTGAATATTTTTGCACGTCCCTGTTGGGTGTCACGTCTCTGTGTTTCTGGGGTGCCACGGGAAGTCTGCTGAGAGCTTTCAGTGCCTGCCCTCGTGAGCAGCATTGGCTCAGCCTTTAACAACCTGATCAAAACACGCCGTGCCGAGGCTTTTCTTCAGCTGTTGGTTTGGATTTCATGCTTTGGGTGAGGAGAGAACGGGATTCTGCTCTGACTGCGAAAGAATCAGAATTCAGACTTTTATCTCCCAGAGCATTTCCCTTGAGCAGACAAAACAACTGGGAGCTCTTTATAAATTTACCCTGCCCCTTGATATCTGCCAGCTCTCTGGGAAGGCGAGCACTTCAACTCACACCAATTCCCTGTGCTTTTTAAACAGGCTCCAAAGAGACATTTATTTTGGCTACAACAACATTTGCCTTGTATTGCTGTTATGAGATTCAACTTTTCCAGAAATAACTTCTGAAAGATGCTGAGGGTCTGGGGTATAGGTGTTGTCAGACAGAGCAGGGAAGGTTTTTACAATGCACAGTGTGTGCTGAGGCTGATTTTGAGAAGCAAGGAGTTGGGTTGGGGAATTGGAGTAGCTTTTCCGAGCAATTTGTTGTGAGTCATTAGGAAATAACATCAATTCCTGCACCTACAGAGCTGCTAGCCCATAAATTCACTGTGAAGAGATTACTGGTGCATCTGATGATCTCTCACTGATGGTTTGGGTTTGAAGTTCCTTCTAAATGGGCTCAGCAGCCTACATGGGATGATTTCTGAAGCTTTATTTTGTGGGGAGATTGAAGGTATTGAGTGATATTTAATTGACTAAAATCAGGAATCAATAGATTGTTTGCTGTCCTCAAACTAAGGGCCTGTTTTTCTCTTTCCATTTTCAGGTTAATTCCCAAATTACCCCTCAGCAAACCCCAAGTGTCAGCATCCCTTGCTCTGACCGGGTTTGGAACCAGGTGTTTGGGCTCAGGAAAATGCAATTCCAGCCTGTGCCCATTTCCCATTCCCACCTGTGCCTGTTGCAGACATTTCCTGGATGCTGGGCAGTTGTGATTTTTAGCATCATAAAATCACAGAATCCTGGAATGGTTTGGCTTGGAAGGGATCTAAAGCCCATCCAGTTCCACCCCCTGCCATGGGCAGGGACACTTCCACTGTCCCAAGGTCTCCAACCCCATCCAGCCTGGCCTTGGACTTTCCCAGGGATCCAGAGGCAGCCACAGCTTCTTTGGGCACCCTGTGCCAGGGCCTGCCCAGCCTCCCAGGGAAGAATTCCTTCCCAGTATCCACCTAAACTTCCCATTTTTCAGTTTGAACCCATTCCCTCTTGTTCTGACCCAGTTTCTGATGCAGAGTCCCTCTCCAGCATCACCCCCAGGTCCTGCCCTCAGGGCTGCCCTGCTGGGAAAAGCTCAGGGCTTTGCACAGCAGCCTCTCCTTTGCAGGCACAAAGCAGCATTTCCATGGGGCTGCAAGAAAACCTGCAGTGCTGCATGCCTGTGCATCAATTTTTGGGGTTTTTGGGGCCATTCCATAGGGGTGCAGATGTGTAGGCCTGCCTGGCTGAGGGGGGAAGGTGCTGAACATGCATTCATGAAGAGCCCAGTGTTCAAAGAGAGCTGCATCACTTCCCATTCGTTTCTGCAACGCTCCCAAATGTGCTGACCCAAGCCAAAAGCTCTCCTCTCCCTTCTGCTCGTGGGGAGGGGCTGGGGATTTGTGAATGTGTGAAAGTATTAGCTGCCAGTTATAACTGGAATGGAGCCTAGAGGAGCCCAAATCCTTCAGCAGGAAAGTTTGTAATACATTATCTCTGGAATTGGCCCAGCTTTCAAAACCAGGAAGCATTAATAGGAATAAATGTGAGCGCCATTAGCACTTCCAAAGGCCGTGATTTATTGGCCATTTTGGTTGCAAAATATTGTTTAGCTGCATAATCTTGTTCATTTAAATAGGAAATGTCATCAATGGATTAGTTTATTAAATACACAGACTGCAAGTGAGGGAATTCCTGAAACTCCCAGCTGGAGCAGGCAGGCACTGCACTGTCTCTGCTTTAGGAGAGGGGAGCATTTGCTGCTTTGAAGGGATTTAGGAGCTTTTTAAGAGGAATGAAAGCAGAAGAGTTTGGGCTGAGGGATGCTGGGCATGGGCATCTCCAGAGCAGCAGTGGAGGGGCTGGCACTGGGAGGGGAGTGCCAGGGTTTGGGGCTTTCTGCTCCTGTCAGATTGGGGTTTGTTCTTCTGGGCACAGTGTGCATGAAACTGGATTCATTCCCTGGCTCCAGGAGAGAGCCAGGCTGCTGGGGTGGGAGAGAGGGAAGGCTGGGATCAGGCTGGGCTGGGATCAGGCTGGGCTGGGATCACACAGAGCTGGGATCACACAAAGCTGGGATCACACAGGGCTGGGATCACACAGGGCTGGGATGACACAGGGCTGGGATCAGGTTTAGGTCCTGCCACAATCACCCAGGCTGTCCCAACACACTGCTGTTCTCTCAGTGTCTGTGCCCAAAAAGCTCTGAGGACTCTGAAGATCCTGATCGTGCTGCAATTCTGGTTTCCCCCAGCAAATCAAGCTCCAGTTTTCCAGCACTTGTCTCTTGCAACTCAGAGGAAACATTTACTTCAATAAAACATGGCCATGTTCTACTTCAGTGAGAAGCAGCAGCTGCCCAGTGACCATTTATATCTCGTTATCTGCTGATTTTTACTTGTTATCTGGCTGATTCATGGAGGCAATGCTAATTACACTGCCTTTTTTCCTAGTACAAGATATTTCTTTCTCCCTAATGCCTTGCCCCCGTAGTCAGTCTGTTCCCTGTAAAACCTCTCCTTCCCTCTCCTCCTTTGATCTCCTGGTTAGGGTTCACCTCCTTCATTTTTTGCAATTACCAGTCTGCAGTGAGGATGCCCCTGACCTTTCTGCAGCAGTCTGGCAGACACATGGGGCAGGAAGCTTGGCTTTTATTTCAGCCGTTTCCACGATCCATCTTGGATGGATTACAACAGTAGCAGCTCTGACTGTCTTGGAACCCTTTTTGTGATAAACAGAGGTAACCTCAGAGACACAGGGAAATGTGCAGGCTGGGGCTGGGCTGAATGGGCACATTTTTGGTGGCTAATCAGATGCAAAAGCCCCTCATGGTCTCTATGTTGCTGTACAGGGAAGAATTTCTTTTATATCAACTTCAGCAGTTCCTCCAGAGCGTAATCTGCTCTGGGGAAGAATCCACAGGGATGTCAATACAGCAAATGAGTCATTTGCTTCAAAAAAAAAAAAAAAAAAAAAAAAAAAAAAAGAGAGAAAACTTCCTTCTGTTCTGCTGCTGCTTCACTGCATTCTTCTGATTTCAAAGTTTTGAATCTACAGCAGCAGCAGCAGAACAGGAAGAATAAATCAAAATTCCAGAAAAACTGTGCCAAAGATTAGGATTTGTGCTTGGATCTCAGTGAGATGGGCAAGTTTATTAGGAAGGGGGTGAGTTTGTCTGCCAGACTGAAGGAGGGGGAATTCAGGTTGGATGTTAGGAAGCAATCCTTCCCTGGGAGGGCGGGCAGACCCTGGCACAGGGTGCCCACAGAAGCTGCGGCTGCCCCTGGATCCCAGGCAGTGCCCAAGGCCAGGCTGGATGGTCTTGGAGCAGTCTGGGACAGTGGAAGGTGTCCCTGCCATGGCAGGGGTGGAACAAGGTGACCTTTAAGGTCCCTTCCAAGCCAAACCATTCTGCCAAACCTCTCTGGGCAATCTGTGCCAGCGCCTCCCCACCCTGATGGGGAAGAATTTGTTCATCATATCTGTATTTTTATTTGCCATAATAGCTGATGCCACGCTGCTCTCTGTCAGTTTGGAGCCATCCCCCTGCTCCTGGCATCTCCTTGGCGAGGTGCTGGCATGGGTGGCAGCAAGGAGAGGTGAAGACAGGCTCCTGTGTGAGGGGACGGGGCGGGAGGGAGAGATGAGCCTGCGGAATGCCATTCTAACTTTACCTGCTGGCTGAACGTATCTGTGGATTTAAATGACATCTCAGGGGACAGTATCAAACTTCTGAATTCCATTCATCCATCAGATGGGGAGAACAAGACCCGGCTTTCAGTCGGGCGGGAGCTGGAGACTTCTCCTGCAGTAAATGAGCTCAGACCACACAGATAAAGAACGTCTTCTGTTCCGTCTGAAAACATTTCAGGGGAGAATCATCTGTCACTTGGCTCCGGGCTGAGGCCTCTCGGCTCCCACTGAGGTGCAGGGGCCGCCACAACAGGGACGCTTTTCAAACCCTTCCCAGTCCTTCATTCCCTTGGAAGCTCCAGAATTTGCTCCCTGTAGTTAAAAGCAAATTGCCCAGCGAAGGAAAGCTGCAAGAATTCCACTGCAGGCACCAATTCCCTGGGGAAGGCTGGGCTGGGTCACCCCTGAGCCCTGCAGAACTGCTGGGTTAGGAATTTCATGTCCCTTCCCTTTTTTCCCCTCCTTCTATCCTGACCAAACCCCAAACTGAAGGAGATTTCACGTGGGGAGTTCATTCCCTCGCTCATCTGTGTTATTTCAAATTTTATCAGGGTTCAGATGTAATTTTTAGTGTGAGAATAAATGTAATTGAGGAAATGTGTCAGTTAATACCAGTCAGGGACCTGTGCCCTAATTCAGAATAACCTCTGGGAACCTTCACATGTCAGCCCAACCACAGTGTCTCTGATTTTGGAAAGTTTGGAAAGTTTTACACAGTTTTTATACCACTTTATACCAGACAGACTGGCTGGTCCTGCAGGTGGTGATGCCTTTTTTTAATGTTAAAAGCTGTTAATTCACCAAAAAGTTCTGTTCAGCAGGCTGAAGCTGATCACAAATTTGCTAAATTCTAATGCATATTTTTAACTGAATAAAAAATGTATTTCAAAATGTCAGAAATCCTTTTCAGAGAGGGGTCTAGAACATGATTCTCCCATACTTTTACTTCCCAGTGTCTTTGAGACACTCCCACCTGGGGCTCCCACCGACTGCCTTGTTTAATATCTCACTTTGTCTGAATAATGACGTTTTTATTTGGTGAAGGGGGATAACAGCTTTTCCAGGGAATGGAAATCTGAAGGGGATCAGTGGAAAAGGGCACTGAAGCAGAGGGCAAATGCTCCAGGAGTATTGTGAGCCCTGGGGCTCCTTTATTGCCCTGAAAAGAAAAAGTGGGTGCAGAGGTGGGAGAGAAGAAGTTCCCCCAAGACAAAAATCACTTAAAGGTCAAACTTGGTCTTTTTTGGGTTCATTTTAAAGAAAAATTTCAAGGCAAACATTTTAAAGGCAAACATTGTAAAGACAAACAAATGCATAGCGAAATTCCCTCACAGTCCCAACCTTCC